ATCTCGGGTTAAATATTGCTAGAATCGGAGGAGAGATAGAATTCAAAGGAAAAAAATTTTTAAAAGTTCTTAATAAAATTTCGTAAATCTTAGAGATCACAATTTCCAGATTCACAGATAATTTTTCTCTCAGAGATTACTCTATCGATATTATTTTATCGAAGAATATTTTCAGAAAAAGAAGAAAAAAGAAATAATAATAATAATAAATAATTAATAATAATAATTAATAATAATATAGCTAAAAAAGAAAAATACGTATTTTTTTCTAAAATATTGTAGTATTTGTTAAAATATCGAGGAAATATTATTCGTGTTCGAAACGAATCCTTTCAATGTCAAACAGTGTCAGTCTTTTTTATTGTAACACAGTGGAATGTCCATTACTCGAACGTCACTTAACCGCAACATCAGTTGTCCAAAAGATCGATAATCGATGCACGGTATCGCATATTTAAACTGCGTTTACATTTCGGGACAATATTTACATTTCAGAATACGCGTTGAATAGGTATTATTGAACATTTGAAAATTGGTGAGATTAATTGAAATTTGCAACGAAACGAAACGTTGTAAAATCTAGAATTGTCGCAGCTAAAGAAGGCAAATGTACATCATTTAATATTTTGTCAAGTAACTCTTATACAAATATCAATATAATAAATACGATATATTTAATAAATAGAGTGTAGATTTTTTCTTTATATAAAATCAAATGAACGTATTAAAGAAATGGAACTTAAATTAAAGATTTGTTTTATTTCTCAAATAAAATTTCATTTCTTTTTTCACGCCCATTTTATAAATATTTTCTTTTCTTTTAATTTAAATTTTCGACTCGCATTGATTATTAATAAAATCATAAACAATTTGATACAATTATTCGAATAATTTTCTATCTATAACACCATTTAAATGCATAATTATTCACAGTTTAACAACAAAAACATAATATAAATGAATTTTACTTATATCCTCGACCAAAATGATATCAATCTATTATCCAACCAAACACTATCATTTATTCAACGCATAACTTCCAATTTAAAGATGTCTAAAAAAAAAATGTCTATCCGTTGAGTAAACAAAACTCTTCGTTTCTTAATTAATCCGTAAATCGTCAAAGTGTAAAGGGAATGGCGCCTTAATTACTCGTCGTATCTTTTTAAGGAGCGAAAGAGCAGTTTTGGCCGGCATTAGTTCCAAAAGTCGCGTTATTGTATGGCGGTGTTACACTTTTGCCCCGCAATATTTGCACCAGGGGAAAAAAGAGCTGCGGCGCAATCGAGCAAATCACGTTCCTTGAATCCGCTCCAAAATCTCAATATTACGGTTCGCGCGTTAAAACTTGCCACGAGAGAGCCAATCGTTGAAAAAAAAAAAAAAGAAAAAAGGATGGATACCGATTTTATAGGCGGTACGCCCTATATCCGAAAGAAGAATTCGTTGTGGAAGTAAATTATGGAATCGATGGAATTTATTATTAAATTAATTTGCATATTTGGTCATCCTTCTTTGCGCAACTTTCTTGATTTGCCGCTTCTTCCGCCGCCTTTCAACGATCCACACTTTTGCGTTCGAAAAGGTTCTTTGCAAATCTGCATAAATTTCAGAAAAGTTTTCAGATTCAAATGTTAATCGTGGCAATTAAGCGAAATTTTAATTTAATTGCTACCCATCTCGCACCTCGTCCAACGAAATTTATGAATCAGGGAAATTTGTTTTCCTCGACCTTGCATAGAGCGTCCTATATGGTCGAGTCATAATTGCGAAGAGAAAATGGAAAATATTTTTTTTTTTAAAATACTTTTTCTTCGTATTCCTTTTGTCTTTCTTGTTTTTCACGAAATCTTCCGTTTTCAGGTACAAGTAGTACTTGAACACATCTGTGCAGATAAAAAGATTGATTATTTTCAAAATGCTTTCATTTCCAAATATTACAACACCACTCCAAACTAAAATAAATTATTATAGTAATATTTACTATAATAATAATAATAATAATAGTAGTAATAATAATAATCTAATACAATAATAAGAATAAAAATATTTGCCTACGAAAATATAAAATTATATAAACAAAAATGTCACAAATATTTTCACTTAAATTTCCAATTTCCCATTTTTATTTACATTACACCAAAATAAAATAATCAATTCGGCAAATACAACGACGAACGTTATTTATCCGTTCATTTATTTATCCACTTGAAAATCAACACCGCGCACCAGATTTATATATATATATATTTATATTTGTAAGATTTGAATGTTAAATGTGTGTTTCAATATGCACGATTTCAGCTTGATTTTTTTCGACCCATCTCTGTATTCAAACGGTGTTCTTCTTCTCTATCGACGTGCCCGCCTATCTCAGTACTTAACTCTGCGCCCGCAGCTCCGTTTCAAAGGAAACTTCTTTCCATGTCTCTATACGTCCCTTTTTCCCGAGTTTATCCCCGCCTCGCCTCACCGTGATTTTCACTCTCAGCTCAGCCAGACTCTAGATTTTTTCACACTCTCGCTGCTTACGAGCAGAGGGGAAACGAAACTTTATTGGAAATAGATTAAGGCGATATGATTGCTGCGCCATCTACACGTATATATATGTCAAGTTGACAAATTCAATGTTATAACGCGATAATGAAATCATTGTGATATTTAGCCCAGTTATCTTTTCTCTCTTTGCCACTCTCAAATAAAAATATGACATCACATACTGAAAATTTACAATCTCTTTTGATAATCATGGATGTAACAGGATGGATTGGTATTGTATGGTATGGTTCACGTGACGTTATATTACACCCATTGCTGGATTAGGCAGAGGCCATGTGACTTGATATAGCAATGGTAGTGGGGATACGTCATATAATAAAATAAGACGTCACTAAGGGAATATTATAATCTAAAGCTTCTCTTGGCTGCTTTTACTTTTTAATTTTTTCATAAGAATATGCTTATACACTATATACGTGTCCACGATGCACGACACGCGATTGTGTTTAATCGTGCTTCGTTTGCCAGATTAATGCTTTCGATGTGGGCGTATAGAATGTAGAATGTGTACATATAGAATGTACACATACAGAATGGAAAAATCGATTTTGTGGCGGGATAATGGGCGTGTGAGACAAAGACGGTTTAGATCTGGATATATTGGAATTCTCGTTTTTTTAAAATTAAAACAGTTTCGCGTTAATGAAGTTGTACTGAATTAAGCAAGAATGAAAAGGATTATATATATTCTATTTTTTTTAATGTCACGATGGAATTGAATACCTTTTTTGAACCTTTTTTAACATTCAATATTACTCTAGTGTTATATACGATTAAAAGGTTACAATTTGTAAAATTTGAGCTTATAGATACGTATGAAATTAGTATTTTATATATTTATATATCGTTGAAATTAATTTTTCTATTCAATGCTACATATAATTTTATTTATATAATTTAATCCACAAATCTCGTGAAAATTTCTCGTGGAAATTTATTTATTCTTCCCCCTCACTCAAATGTATAAAGTAAAAATTCACCACCGATATCGAGAAATAAATAATATATATATATATATAAAATTGTATTCTCACTTCCTTTCCACCCTTCATCACAAAACGAATAAACAAACAAACGGTAAACATCATTATCCAAACGCGTCACACGTTACTTCCAGTTGTCCAATTTCCTTCAACCATTCTAAAAATATCGTGGCGGTGGGGGTGCACGCCCCTTTCGATCCCATCTCATCGTCGGATCCCGATACAGGCGAAAACTTGACCCTGTTGCCGCGATCCATTTCACGGCTCTCCAGTTTATTCTCGTCTAGTTTCCAGCCTGCCGACTCGACCGCTGCACTTTTCCCAGATAATACGTATATATTCGCCGTGACATGTCCGTGTCGGCGCGATGCGCTCTGCCTTTGCCACCCTCTAATCCGATAACGCGCATCAACCCTCCGAAAATGTCTCTCCTCCGAGGGGAAAAATTTCGAGAAAGATCGTCGTCCAATAATAAGCCTTGCTTATGTTGCGTGTGAATCGACATTAAAATGATCGAGGAGAAAGGAAAATTGTATCTTTTCCAAAAATATTGTTTATCGACATGTCTATTCGAACTATATCGTGAAAATAAGATAAGTGTAATTATATTTCTGGATGAATGCACTCGATGATAAATACAATGATAACACGAAATTCATTATTTCGACAGATTTGATTCAGGAAGAATCAGCAATATTTTCCCTCTGTATAAGTTTTGCTCGAACGAATTGAGCTTCGAGGTATTTCTAGGATTAAAAATGTTAAAAGTTTCATATGTCGTCGTCGATTTTCTCGACAAATCCTTTCAACCTGGTCAATTACCAACTTTGAAAAATTCTATGGTACTTGGCTCGATGTAATTTTTGACCGAGTCCGGATTCTGCGTCAAGTTCTTTCAGTTCGCAGCCACGAAAGTTCGGATTAATCGGTAATCGGTGTTTGCTCCACTTTCTCCACTTCGTTCGTGAATGGAGCGGAAGGTTGGGGAGAAGGAGAAGGAGGATGCGTGAGCTTACCAACGATTCTGAGCTACCAACGATTTCTGTTTGCCTTAACCTCGAGAAAATCTGTTTAACAAAATAGAAATGTACGGAGAAGTAGTTCGTCAAGTTCGTTAATATTCCTCGAAAGTTTTTAACGAGCATCGCGAAAGGATTCGTGCACGAATTATTAAATGCGATGCGTTGGAAGAAGTCTGTCTTAAACGATTAACAATCGGTGAACTCAGTTGATCTTTGAAAATGATTCAATACAATAGAATTTTAGAATGTTTGAAGTAATAAAGAGGCTGGATTTTTTGGGTAATGAAACATTTTGATGAAATTAAGACAATGGCATAGAAATTATTAATTAAAAATTAGAGATCTTTTTTTTAAGAGAATTGTTAATTTGAGTAAATTTTTTTAAAACGCATAAATATATATATAATCACTGGTCTATTTCTATTTTTTTTTCCAGTTACCAATCACTGTATTCGCAAAAAGTTTGCAAACTGTGGCAAGGTTTCTCACAATATTAATTTGGCTGCATTCATGGGTGAGTTTCAAATTAAAATTTTTTAAAAGTATCATTATCCATATTTATACACAATTATATTTATATATCGATATTTAAATTACAAATTACAAATTTAAAATTAAAATTAAATATCAGGAGTGTTAAATGATTGGTTAAGAATCAAAAAATTATTTTATGTTACACAATTTTTTACAGTATTTTTAAATTTTTAATTCTCGATCGATAATGAATCGTTTCGAAAAAAATTCGCATCGACTGAGAAAATAAAGGAAGAAAAGAGAAATAGAAATTGCAGCTCGCACTTTGCCAAATGCTATTCGCGCGTTACGAGGCTTCGGTGATAAACAATGACTTTGTGCATCGTTTCTAACATTGCGCTTTCAGAAGAAAAGTGCACACATTTTATGATATAAGCTTCATAAAATGGAGTAATACTTTTTTGACTACGAAACGACGCATCGCTTTATTTTTACATATTTACCATCATACTTACTTACCATATATAACGCGTACGTGTATTAGCATGCATAGTGGATACATGCTTTTTTTTTTTCGAAAATACGAGATGATACCTTCTTAATATACAAAGTGTTGAGAAAAACGAAAACTCTTAAAAGTACATGCTCCACTCATCGAAATAAATATAATAATAAATTCCTGTTAGTATTTTTATTTAATTACATTTTATATAAAATTATTTATAAGCCAAATATTTATATGTATGTATATGAGAATTAGATATTCTAATTAAATATTCTATCAAGTTTTAAATTAAATTATTTAGTATTTTGATGACAGATCCAATATCTGTATTCATATCTGTATTAACTAATCTTAATGCTTATACTATATACACTATTTATAATAATATAAAAATAATAGTGTCGATACCAATCAAAGATCCATGAAATCAAACTTCGAATAGATTTTTGAAACTTTCATCAAGATTCCTTCTACAAACCGACCTAACATATTTCTATTCCCTTCTGATAAATAATTCATCCCCTTTAAGATTTTCTCCCAGCCTTCATCGATCCTCGAAAACAATTATCGAAAAAAAAATATGTTCAACGACAAGCAATCCGAGGATAATATTAAAAACTTTCTTCGAAATGCATTACTTTTCAATCGGCCGTTCCAAGAACGTTGAAACGTTGTCCCGTTCGAAGGGTAAATTTCATCGAGGTCTCATAGTATAAATTTACCTCGAAGTCTGGTGCATAAATTTCGTCCTCGAAGTCTGTATTCGTCCTGTACCACAACCGTGGATTCCGGTATCCTAGAACTTAACCTCATTCCCTCAACCTACATCGAGGCTCTCTCGTTTATTTTCGTTCAACTTTCCAGACACGCAGGATCCCGTGGCGTCCGCGCCTCCCTTGGGAGCCGTGGCTGTTTGTAGGTCCTCAAAGCTTTTATCCTGTGCCACGATAATTTTCTTTTTTTCTTTTTCTTTCTTTTTTTTTTTGCCTAAAAAAAGAAAGAAAGAAAAGAAAATTGTTCGACCGATATCTTTGCCCTCGAAATTTTCGACCGAGAATAAAGTATTCGTGGGTGGAATATTTTATGGGAAAACCTAACTCGCAGTTCTTTTTTGGTGAATAAACGATGGAATTTGTGAAATAAATATTTCCTTTGTACGTAAGGTCGAATAAATTGACTCGAAATATACTTTCGAGTTTCAACAAGTGTTGTCCTCTCCTTTGACTTGAAATAATACATCTTACTGAATTTTTAAACTGAACATGAATAAAATGATACGTGTATTACGTGTTATTTCAAAATTATTAATAAAAATAATCATACATGATAATTATATTACGAATAAATGGTAATAATATTTGAGAGAATAAAAACACGTATTTTCGCTTTAATTCAGAAAACTAAATTTAATCGATCTGGGATATTAATCAACGAAAAGATCATTTTTCTATTCATTTTTTTTTTGTTTTTTTTAGAAAGAGAGATGGTATTAATCCAATTTATCTCAACTTTCTGTGAAATATTTCACGATACTTGATGCAATATTTTTGATGCAAAAAGAGCGAAACGATGGAGGCACGACGGTGTGAAAGCTATATATAAATCTCTGAATTCCCAGAGATCTCTTAGTGTCTCGAACCCATATTCGCATCATAGGTTTTATATGCTATATACGTCACCCAGAATTCGAACTATTGGATTACAACAAGCAACATCTGTATGTGGACGTCGAAGTAGATAGTATCCTTCTCGAAAGCATGCACTTTCGATGCTGCCATGCTCCTTCGTGAGACTTCTATTAAGGATCGTTGCTAACAGTTTTCCACTTCTTTTTCTTTATGAGAAATTCCTGAAATCCTGAGATCCATCGGTTAGAAAATAACGATAAAAGTAATAATTTGTAAATTTCATATTTTTGTTAAAGTTTTGTTAAATTATAAATTGTTCATTTTTGTCTATAAAGTGATTCGTTGTTATTAATTTTAATTAAACTTTTCATCTATGTTTAATAAATAAAAAATTATTATACATACATTTATCTATTATAAAATGCATGAAAATTAAAGTTAAAGTTGAAACATGGAAAATTTTGAAAAAAATAGAAAAAGAATATTAGGATAAAAATAAAAGGAATTGAATAACAAAGAAAAAAATCGTCAAAGGAATGAATCACTGCACATTGAATGATGTGATTGGTCAGATTTTTCGAAGTGATAAAAGAAGCAATGGTGAAATTGAAGGCAATGTACAATGGGTAAACTAGTGGTTCGTAAAGAGTCCTATTGTGGAGGGTGATGGTTTGGCACAAACTTGAAAAGGCTGATTTATGCTGTGACCTTTCTCTACAAATTCTGAATTCTAAGCCCACCATGTAGTGGCTCCCTACAATTCGTTATCCTTTCAGTGAATAGAGCACGATGGAATGGAATGGAAAAATGTTGGCCTTGTATTTCAAGGTCAAGGTCAATTTTCTAACTTATTTATTCTTTTTTTTCTCTCTTTCTCTCTTTCTTTTACATTGTTATCGATTATTTCATCTCTCGATTATTAATCAATTCAAAAGTTTCAAATTTATCTTTAAATAAAGCATTGGAAGAAATATCATTTATGTATATCTTTTCTGTATATCTAACAACCACTTTTTATTTCTTCTAAGAATTGATCAATTTTGTATTTTATTTATCGAAATTATCTTCATCTCGATATTCCATTCTCGTTCGTTTAAGTTTGATTGATCACTGTCACCACGATGTCGTCAACTAGAGTCTAATTAGTCACGAAGAAATATCGTATTTTAATGTACGAAGGTAGTGTTCAATAATAAGATGACTGAGCAAATTTACTTGATGCCATTAAAGTGTTGAATAATGGTTAAAAACATGACATTGATTATCTTGATTCGTTGCATTGCAGAAATTTCATTCCATTCTTTTCCAACTGCAATACTTTGTTATGAATAAATTCTCTTTGATAACAAAAATTATTATTAAATACATAGATATGCACATAATCTATAACAACAATTCTCAAATGTTAATTTATTATTATCTAACTTTCAGATAAATCAAGCTTCATTCTTCTTCCAATCACATTATTAATTAACCAATCTTGCCGTTATTAAGTGAAAATATTTTACGTTGTAATAAATTTAATTAGATTAAATCTCCATTAGTATTCAATTATTTCATCGTACATATTAAAACTTTCGATTCGAGAAACTGATATACAAAAAAAAATATTATTGATATTAAAAAAAAATATTTTAACAAATTGTTCATTTTTTTACAATGGATAAGATTTCAAAGTCATTTCATTCTTTTCAAATAAAACTATACAACTTGTTCCAAAAATCCATTGGTTTAGAAAATATTTTAACTTGAATTAGTAGATTTCCTCTTCCCAAAACAAAATCATAAATCCCCCCATGATAACATCCAATTGTAATAATCATTCGTCATTATTAAGTAAAAATATTTTATATTTTAATAAATTTAATTAGATTAAATTTCCATTAGTATTCAATTATTTCATTGTGCATATTAAAACTTTCGATTCGAGAAATTGCTATACAAGAAATTAAATTATTAAAAAAAAAATTTTAACAAATATTGTTCATTTCCTTACAGTGGATAAGATTTTAAAGTCATTTTATTCTTTTCAAACAAAACTATACAACTTGTTCCAAAAATCCATTGGTTTAGAAAATATTTTGACTTGAACAGTAGATTACCTCTTCCCAAAATAAAATCATAAATCCTCCCACATGATAACATCCAATTGTAATAATCATTCGTGCAAATAAGATACAAACATGTTTATTCTTCCCCCGGGATTACGGAAGAAACTTGTATGGAAATCGACAATATTTATATATACATCTCCTCCTTATTAATCAAAACTTTGTTCCCTCGACCGAAAGCAAAAGCCAAGAGACGTTTGAGGTAAAATATAGAGGTTAGATATATGGTCGGTGATCCGTCTGGTGTTGTTTTACCGCGATTCATCGTACGTCCAGCAAACCTTTGCCTAACCCTGCTTCCACACGGTTGGATCGAAGCTTGTTTGCTTATTTCAATCGAATCCTATCGAGCCCTTTGCGAATCTCTGCGCCCCGTTACTTGATCCTCCAAAGACAATACTGTTTATGCTAATCTGTGGACGTTACTCGAGCTTCTGTGCTTTTCGGTCACTGCATAGGGCGGAAGTCTCGAATTCCACCCCGCGCCTGATAAATGCCGCGCTACTCTACTTCGACCACTACTACTAGCGCACACGTGTCAAAGTGTTGCGTGATAGTTTCGAATCGCAAATTCTTTTCGAAATTTATTTTTATATATATATTATAGAGATCAATGAGAGCGTTCGAAGTGAGTTTGTACAATGTATTGTTGATTTATTAAAATTGTATTTATTAGCAAATAAATACAATAAATTTAATTAGATTAAATTTCCATTATTTTATCATGCATATTAAAACATTCGATTCGAGAAACTTATTACAATTGGATGTTATCATGTGGAGATTTATGATTTTA